TGACCAGGATGGTCTCGATCTCTTGACCTCGTGATCCACCCGCCTCGGCCTCCCAAAGTGCTGGGATTACAGGCGTGAGCCACCGCGCCCGGCCTAATGTTTCCGTCTTTTAACCCAGTTACCTCAAGCCAGAAAATTTTTCCTTAGAAAAGGAATTTGAGTTCAAGGAACATAAGAAGTAAAGGATTTTTGCTACAGCCTTACAGCAACAGCCAATTAGGGAGCTGGCTAAGATGATGTGGTACAGCCAACAAGTGGAATATCTGTCAGTTTTGTCTCAACAGAGATCATCCCTCTGTGACTCAGTTTCCCTCTCTGTAAAATGGGGCTAATCAGACTGCATTTAATGTGTTGTTTTGGGACTTAAAGCAATAATCTGCTACCCGGGCAGATGCATCACCATTATCTCCTTCTGGCTTTCTGGCTTCTGTGCAATTTCCCCACAGTCTGTTTCTCACACAGGGGCCAGAGAAAACCTGTGAACATCTGAGTCCAATTATGTCCCTCCCCTGCTCACACACATTCCATGGCTCCCTATTGCCTTCAGAATGAAACCCACAGTCTGCCCACTTCCTGCCGTCTCTACGTCTCGTCTCCCTCCGTCTCCCACTTGCTCATCCCCTCCAGCCTTCTGCCTCCTGCTCCCCATTCCAGGCCAGCCCGCAGCCCTGTCACAGCCCCGTTACCTGCTCTTTGAGGGTCAGCCGCCTCCTGCCATCCCGGCCCAGCTGCTCCACCGAGAACCTCACCTGAGGTGGTGGGGGGTTTTCTGCATCAGAACAAAACCAACCACACAAATTGAAAGTAGAGAAAGAGACCAGACGTGGTGGCTCACGCCTGTAATCCAAGCACTTTGGAGGCCAAGGCGGGTGGATCACCTGAGGTCGGGAGTTCAAGACCAGCCTGACCAACATGGTGAAACCCTGTCTTTAAAAAAAAAAAGAAGAAGAAGAAGAAAGAAGAGAAAGACTGATGGATGTTTTGTTTGTAAATAATGGATTCTCCACATTCACAAAGTGAAAATCCCTCGCTTCCCCAAATGCAGAAAAGAGAGAAAACTGGAGAAAGAAAAATTAACACCATTTGCGTCCCCGGGGATAACTGCCACCTGTAATTTCATGTTGCCTGCTTTTCTGGGAGAGGGTGATGGTGCGGAGTTTCACTCTATCACCCAGGATAGAGTGCAGTTGTGCCATCCTGGCTCACTGCAACCTCAGCCTCCTGGGTTCAAGCGATTCTCCTGCCTCAGCCTCCCAAGTAGCTCACACCACACCCAGCTAATTTTTGTATTTTTAGTAGAGACGGGGTTTCACCATGTTAGCCGGGCTGGTCTCGAACTCCTGACCTCGTGATCCGCCCACCTCAGCCTCCCAAAGTGCTGGGCTTACAGGTGTGAGCCACCACACAGACCTCTTAAGTTTTTCTTTGAATGCAAATGTATTTCTCTACATGGTTTTGTTGTGGTTGTTGTTGTTTATAGACTAGACATGGGGTCTCGTATTGATTCCCAGGCTTGTCTTAAACTCCTGGCCTCAATCAATCAATCCTCTGGCCTCGGCCTCCCAAAGTGCTGGGATTACAGGCTTGAGCCACTGCGCCAGGCCTTTCTGCATGGTTTGAAATCGTCTCACTCATTTCTCATTCAGTACCCCGGGCCACCTGCAGGTGATATTGTCCCTGAGACACTGTGAAGTTCGACCTGATGATTCTCACTTGATCAAGTCCTACAGCGGGCCAGGCGCAGTGGCTCACGTCTGGATCCCAGTGCTTTGGGAGGCCGAGGCAGGAGGATCACATGAGGCAGGAGTTTAAGACCAGCCTGGCCAACTTGGCGAAACCCTGTTTCCACTAAAAATACAAAATTAGCCAGACATGGTGGTGCGCGCCTGTAATCCCAGCTACTAGGGAGGCTGAGGCAGGAGAATTGCTTGAACCTGGGAGGCGGAGGTTGCGGTGAGCCGAGATCATGGCACTGCACTCCAGCCTGGGCGACAGAGCGAGGCCTTGTCTCAAAACAAAACAAAACAAAAAACAACAAACCCTAAAGTGGGTGCCGCAATACCAGATGCCACATTGTCAGGACTTGAGCACCCCTTTCTCTCTCTGCCTTACTTCTGTCACCTGCCGCCTTGTTTCTAATGCTTTCTGCCTTATTTCTTTTTTCCATTTTATTTTATTATTATTATTATTATTTTTTGAGACGGAGTCTCGCTCTGTCACCCAGGCTGGAGTTCAGTGGCCTGGACTCAGCTCACTGCAACCTCCACCTCCTGGGTTCAAGTGATTCTCCTGCCTCTGCCTCCCATAGCTGGGATTACGGGCATGCACCACCACACCCGGCTAATTTTTGTATTTTTAGTAGAGATGGGGTTTCTCCATGTTGGCCAGGCTGGTCTCGAACTCCTGACTTCAAGTGACCCACCCACCTCAGCCTCCCAAAGTGCTAGGATTACAGGCATCAGCCACCGCTCCCAGCCCCCTTTTATTTTATATTTTAGAGATGGGGTCTCACTGTGTTGCCCAGGCTGGTCTAAAATCACTGGCCTAGAGTGATCCTCCCGCCTCAGCCTCCTGAGCAGCTGGAACTACAGGGGTGCACCACCACCTCCGGCCGTGGCCTTATTTCTAACGCCTGCCCCTGTCCCCATGGCCCAGATGGATCTTACCGGGGGGAATGCACACAGGGCTGCTCCACTTGCTCCACAAACTTTGCTGGTTCTCCCAGTGCCGTCGTCGGAGCTGGAATTCCTGGGCCACATTCACCTCCAGGGGGCAGAGGCAGGACTCTGGGGAGAGGCAGGTTGAACATCAGGCTGTAAGAATTGTCCGGCACTGGGCCGGGCACAGTGGCTCAGGCCTGTAATCCCAGCACTTTGGGAGGCTGAGGCAGGTGGATCACGAGGTCAGGAGTTCAAGACCAGCCTGGTCAATGTAGTGAAACCCCGTCTCTACTGAAAATACAAAAATTAGCCGGGTGTGCTGGCAGCCTGTAATCCCAGCCACTTGGGAGGCTGAGGCAGGAGAATTGCTTGAGCTGGGGAGGCGGAGGTTGCGGTGAGCTGAGATCGCACCACTGTACTCCGGCCTGGGCAACAAAAGTGAAACTCCACCTCAAAGAAAAAAAAAAGAATTGTCTAGGACTTGGTACCAGTCACTTAGCCATCATGCACTTATTGAACTCCAACTGTGTATAGAGCCACGTGCTGGGCCCCGGGGGCTCAGAAGGACAGGCCAGGCCCTGTCTTCTTATGGCTTTCGGGATCACCCACATCCATCCCTGCCCTGAATTCAAGTCCTGGCCATGGCCATCCCTGGGGTCATGACCTTGGCCAAAGGCTTCTCACCCTCTCCAAGGCTTTTTTTTTTTTTTGAGACGGAGTTTCGCTCTTGCTGTCCAGGCTGGAGTGCAGTGGCGTGATCTCAGCTCACCGCAACCTCTGCCTCCTGGGTTCAAGCCATTCTCCTGCCTCAGCCTCCCCAGTAGCTGGGATTACAGGCACCCACCACCACGCCAGGCTAATTTTGTATTTTTAGTAGAGACGGGATTTCTCCATGTTGGTCAGGCTGGTCTCGAACTCACGACCTCAGATGATCTGCCTGCCTCAGCCTCCCAAAGTGCTGGGATTACAGGTGTGAGCCACCGCACTCGGCCCAAGTGTTCATTTGTTTCCCCACCTGCAAAATGGGAGTAATCCAATACTGAACTGTGGGGCAGGGCAAGAGGCACACAAATGGCCGGGCACAGTGGCTCAAGCCTGTAATCCCAGCACTGTGGGAGGCCGAGGCGGGTGGATCACGAGGTCAAGAGATCGAGACCATCCTGGTCAA